AAAAAAACCACCCCGGGACCCCCCGCGCCCCTCCCCCAACCTCGCTGCGCTGCCGCCGCCGCCGCGCGCTGACGTCACTTCCGCCGCCCGGCCGGAAGCGGGGCCGGAGCGCGGGGGGAGCGCCCCCTGGCGGCCGGAGGGAGCCGAAAACCCCAAAAACACCCCAAAAACACCCTAAAAACCCCAAAAACACCCTAAAAACCCCCCCAAAAACAGCACAAGGACCCCAAAAACCCCCAAAACACCCCAAAAACTGCACAAACCCCACCAAAACACCCCCAAAACACCCCAAAAACAGCACAGGGACCCCAAAAACAGCACAAAACATCCCAAAACACCCCAAAAACAGCACAGGGACCCCAAAAACAGCACAAAACCAGCACAACCGCCCCAAAACACCCCAAAAATAGCACAGGGACCCCAAAAACAGCAAAACCACCCCAAAAACACCCCAAAAACCCCAAAAACACCCCCAAACCACGCCAAAAACAGCACAAGGACCCCAAAAACACCCAAAAAACAGCACAGAGACCCCAAAAACAGCACAAAACATCCCAAAACATCCCAAAAACAGCACAGGGACCACAAAACCCCCCAAAACACCCCAAAAACACCCGAAAAACAGCACAGGGACCACAAAACCACATCAAAAACACCCCAAAACCCCCAAAGAACCCCAATAACCCCCCAAAAACTGCACAGGGACCACAAAAACACCAAAAACACCCCAAACCCCCCCCAAAACAGCAGAGGGACCCCAAAAACACCCCAAAACCAGCACAAAAACCCCAAAAACACCCCAAAAACAGCACAGGGACCCCAAAATCCCCAAATCCATCTTTTAATTCAATCTTGGATTTTTCAGGAGAAATCCCCGAATTTTGGGGTTCAAATCCCGATTTTAGGGTTCTATCCCCGAATTTTGGGGTTCAATCACCGATTTTGGGGTTCAATTCCCAATTTTTTGGTGTTCAAATCCCCGATTTTTGGGGTAATCCCAAAATCCTCGATCCCACCCTGATCGGTAAATGATTTTTTTTGGGGGTGAAATCCCCAATTTTTGGGGGGAAATTCCCAATTTTTGGGAGGTTAAATCCCCAATTTTTGGGCTCAATCCCCGATTTTGGGGTGAAATCCCCCATTTTCGGGGTTCAATCCCTGATTTTGGGGTGAAATCCCCCATTTTTGGGAGCAATTCCCGATTTTTCTACGAAATCCACGATTTTTGCATTAAATTCCCAATATTTGGGTTCAATTCCCGGTTTTGGGGTTCAATCCCCGATTTTCGGGGTTAAATCCCCAATTTTTGGGGTTCAATCCCCGATGTTGAGGCTCAAACAACGATTTTGGCCTAAAATTCCCGATTTTTGGGGTTCAATCCCGGATTTTATGGGTTCAATCCTCATTTTTGGGGTTAAATCCCCAATTTTGGGGTTAAATCCCCAATTTTCGGGATTCAATCCCAAATTTTTGTGTGCAAGCCCTGACTTTTGGGAGAAAATTCCCAATTTTCGGGGTTCAATTCCCAATTTTTTGGGTTCAATCCCCGATTTTTGAGGTTCAATTCCCGATTTTTGGGTTCAATCCCCGATTTTTGGGTTCAATCCCCGATTTTTTGAGTTCAATCCCCGATTTTTTGGGTTCAATCCCCGATTTTTGGGGTTCAATCCCCGATTTCGGTGTGAGATCCCCGATTTTTGGCGGGAAATCCGCGATTTTGGGATCCCTTTGTCTCTCAAATTCCCCTTGAAATTCCCCCAAATCTCCTCCCAGTTTATCCCAGTTTATCCCAGTCCATCCCAGTCCATCCCAGTTTGTCCCAGTTTATCCCAGTCCGTCCCAGTTTATCCCAGTTTATCCCAGTTTGTCCCAGTCCGTCCCAGTCCATCCCAGTTTATCCCAGTCCATCCCAGTTTATCCCAGTTCATCCCAGTCCATCCCAGTTTATCCCAGTCCCTCCCAGTCCCTCCCAGTCCATCCCAGTCCATCCCAGTCCATCCCAGTTTATCCCAGTTTATCCCAGTCCATCCCAGTTTGTCCCAGTTTATCCCAGTTTATCCCAGTCCATCCCAGTTTATCCCAGTCCATCCCAGTTTATCCCAGTCCCTCCCAGTTTATCCCAGTCCATCCCAGTCCATCCCAGTCCATCCCAGTCCATCCCAGTTTATCCCAGTCCATCCCAGTTTGTCCCAGTCCATCCCAGTCCATCCCAGTTTGTCCCAGTCCATCCCAGTCCATCCCAGTTTGTTCCAGTCCATCCCAGTTTATCCCAGTTTATCCCAGTCCATCCCAGTTTATCCCAGTTTATCCCAGTTTGTCCCGGTCCCTCCCGTTCCCGCCCTGGCCCCGCCCCTTCCCGCGGTGACGTCATCGCGCGCGAGCGCGGCCGGAAGCGGCTCCGGGGGCGGCGGGTGAGGAACGGGATGGACTGGGAT